ACCTTCATATAACTCTATGCAACTCTTCTATACTTTCATATATCTCTCCATATATGTTATCTATAATGGGATACACAATGAACATCTAAAATATGGAAGACATTCATTTAAAAATCAGGTATTGGATTTTAAGAAAAATGCTAGCACAAGTCCAAAATCTTTTTTGAGCATTTTTTTATGGAACACCTTTTTTAAATTCTGTGTAAATGTACGACTGGTTTCAGAAAAACTGATACGACTCTTAAATCACTTTTTTTCAAAGTTTAGAGCAAGATCGAAATAATCAGCACTAGTAATTGAAATAAGTATATGTGTGTTCTGACCATAGAACCGACATAAATTCAGTTCCAGTTCCAATATTAACCACTTTAAGTTTATATGAAACTGGGTCCCTGGTACGTACACCATAAATATAACGCAAACACTACTTTTGGACCCTGTGTATCCCGTTGATGTCACACAAATCGAAACATGGGCCATATACAGTACCACAAAAATTAAAATGACTTAAAAAAAAAAAGAATCAATCAACATTTTTTTTAATGACTCCGACAACAAATGTCTGTTTGGATATAACATTTTTAGATCGCCATATCCAGTGCGTATCAGCTTATTAAAATGAGGTGTAAAAAGAACTTCAATATCGAAATCAAGTCACAAGTTTCTACCGTTGGGGCTTTTATTTCTTTAGCATAAATTGTTATGCTAAAAGTATCTTGAATAGTGTCCCACTGTTTACCAAATGTCATTATTGAAAACTTTTTGCATTAATTTCTAAATTATGATTATTTTAAAACTATATTAATTTTTCTAAATCTTCATTTATTAATATTAATAGTCTTAGGGTAGATAATAATGGTAGTATACTGATCGGTCTCAGATCACTAAAATTTGAGATTTAGGAGTTTTCAGGGAGTGGAATTAGTTTTGAAATCTTTCACGTCTCCGGAAATACTTTATCTAATAGACAATTCACAATATTCATCTCCCAATGCAAGAGTCTTTATTTCTAACAAAAACTGTCTAACATTCCCTCAGTAAATGGCACTTAAAAATGTGTTTTACAATTATTGTGATAATAGTAAGGACGAATTTCGAGCTGACGAGAGCAAAAAGCTATTGTTTATTTTATTAGTTTATTGTCTCATATATATTTTTTTTGTGTAGATTATTAAGTTTTTTCCAAAGAGTCTTGACATTATTTAAATTACTGTTCACGCAGTGGTCGAGATGATGTTTTTTTTTCTGCGCTAAAATTTGTTTGAGATTAGAATGAGATGATGATATACTTTATGAATACATTTACCCAAACATTAACATAAACTAGTGCCACAATCACAATAGTATATTAAAAACGGAATTTAAGTCACGAGTTTATTTTTTTAATAAACGGACATGTTCGAGACATTTTCTACTACATAGAGTTTTTGGGGACATTTTTGCAAAACATCACAAGTATATTCATGACATGACCGTCAGAAATGACAAGCCGTACGATAATATCCCGGAAATGTCCGAAGTGACTCGGATGCGTGGGACAAAAAACTCACCTGGTAAAGTGACGCTTTCCGCACGCTAAATCGGTGTATAATTAGGTATTTTACAGAAGGGAGTATAAAAAATTCATTGAAATCATAAAAGGCATGAAGGAATGAAGGTTATAAAGTTTTGTAGATATGACAACTGGGCAATTGGCTACAATCAACAATTTACCACTAAACATTTTATCATAATTCATTGTCAGCGCATGTTGAGTTACTCAAACATACGATATTATAGTTCTGGCATAAATGACGACATAAAAAATTATGTAAACGTAAAAGATCTATGGAAACCGATATTTATGAATTCCCCCATAGATTATATATTTGCTTGGTGCAAACTTTGCTATTTACACAGGCGGTAAGCTTGCATGCTAACAATGTTGTAATATTATAACAATTACGTCAAAAATCGATAATGAAGCTTAACGAACAAAAAGATAAAAAAAATTATATCTTAATTGCACGTACCACCATTCTAAAATCCTAAAAATCCAATGCCTGGCCAAAAAAAAAAAAACATACAACACGCTCACAACGATGTCGCGGAAGGTGCACCGATAACGAAATAACATTTGTTATTCCAAGCTTGTAATGTCAACGCCAATATTGCTCTTTGTTTTCGAAAACCGATAAGACATCTTTAATTCAACACCGCGGAATCCTATCAAGTCTTAACGGACGCTAATTTAAATTTAATGAGCAATGTGCAGCGCGCTGTTTATGATAAAGTTTTTTCTTATTTCGAAATTCTTAAAGTCAATGATAAATAATTATTAACACTGATATATACAGGGAGAGTCCGCAGTGTAGCAATACTTTAATAGCTTAAAGAAGATTTTTTAAAGATTAAAACAAATGTATACAGGGTGTTTCAATGCAAATACAAAAAACCTAAAGGGTGTTATAACCTTGGCGCAAAAGCCAACCAATAGAGGGATATAACGCTACAAATATGACGGAAAAATAATGTTTTTATTTTTATCTTATAAACGAAAATAGAACAATAAATATTACGGAAGGATTACTATTATAGAAACCCAGTTTCTGGTTCTTTTTTTAATATGACTGGAGGGGATAAAATTAGACTGCCTCTATAATTCTTCTTAACTAAATTTGAGGAAAAACGCAATGGCAAAAAAATAAATTTTGATAGACGAGTTTTTTAGAAACTTTTTTGCCTTCTGCCATTTTTTCATAAAATTTACAGTTTCCACTTAAAAAAATAATTGCGTACCAACATTTACCTAAACAATTATATTTTGAAAATAATTTATTAATAAACACATGTGTAAACTATGAATCAATACAACATTTTATTTAAACAATGTAATAAGAAACGCGTTAAGAAATCACAGCCGCAAACTGGATTTTCTGTAATCAGATTTAATTTTTTCATTTGGAAACGGTACGTATTACGAAAAAAATGGCGGGAGTAAAAAGTTTCTAAATCAGGACATATAATAAAAAATATATCTCTCAAGTCATTGCAGAAATTTATTAAATTTAGTTAAGAATGACAGGGTTATTCTAATTCCATCCTGGCCACTTATTAAAAAAAGTAATAAAATTTTTTGCAGAAAGTGTGTTTTTATAACAATAACACTTTGGTAATATTTTATGGTTCTATCTATTATCTCTCTATATCTCCATAATTGATGGATTTTGATTTAACGATATTATTTAAAGAAATAAAAAAAAATAAAAGCCACTTTCTGTTTGCCATTTTTTGACCTCTACAAGATAGGGTTGGAAGATTTCAAGTAGGACGTTTTGTTTTGGAAAAATCATCATCAACTTTACTTTTTTATATGGTCCGTGGAAAAACTACATGTAATAAATGGCATTTTTTATTACGAATAAATGGACACAATATGATTCTACAGCGTTGCATTGTTTGTTTTTATTAAATTTTCAATGTTGAGAAAAGGTCAAAATAATTTTATGACACATTGGGACTTGCCATTTTTTAATGTGATTATTGCGTTTTTTTGCCGTTGGTTCTTTTCTGCTATACAAAATAAAACGTGCTTTTTCATCTGAGGAGAAATTCGATCTTCTACATGTTATCTCTTATGCTATAGTAACGCTGTAAAGCGGGTGTATGTATTTAAAGAGAGAAAAGAACCGAGTACAATTTTTTTTTGAAAATGAACTACAAATCTTAAGCACTATGAAGGAGAGGTAAATAATGTATTGTGAGCTATGACTGAAAATCGGGAAACATCTGCTCATCCGCAAATTTTATTTTGAGAAAATAAAAATTTCACCCGTTCAAATTTATAATTTGTCAGACCTGGTGATGAAGATAGGCGAAGAACATTTTGCGGTATCGTCAGATGTATCGCAAAGGTCAGAAAGATGAAAACTTTTCCCGTAACTTTATTTGACCAGGCGAAAGCGTGGGACAAATTACCATGGTAGATGGTAGTAGCTCTCCTTTTTTACCCCAGAGTCACGGTGGCCCGCAAGGATCGGTTTTGGGTTCGCGCCTTTTCCTCATTGATATTAATGATATTTGCACATTTTATTAAGCCCATCAAGTGTACACTATTTTCTTTAGAGAAAAAGTTTCTTCCACGCATTTCCGCTTTCAATATATATTAATACTTTTTCAAATAGTAAATCACCCTTCTTTAAAGAGCTAAATACGATAAAATTTTGTCGAATGCTTCATTTAAATTTTTAATATCAATTTTCGTTAATTTTTTGTTAGCCTATATTTATTCAATTCAGTAGAAGATTAAATCTGCAAACGTCACTCGGGATTTTATATGTGAAATATCTCTAGTTCCGACAAATTGAAAAAAATGCAGGGCGCTCTATTAAAAAAAAAAAAACAAAGTTGTTACTAGTAAACTAAAATACACACCTGTAAATATAATATAATAAAATACTTTAAAAGTATAAGTGAACCAAAATAAATTTTGTCTCTAGGTTTTTTTTAATATTTTTTACGGGTTCTCAGTATTTAAGCTTCAGGAAAATAAAAAATAATTTTGGCTTAAAAAAAACAAGTGGCAATTGTAAGTAAAATTTATAATAAAATATTTCTTATGGTAGCACAATGGGTATCCCTACCAACTGGTCTTGGTACTTGTTAATGTTTGCTAGGTTAATCCGATTGGATTAACCGTCAAATTATCAGAACAATTTAAATGAAAATAAATAATTTATATACAATCATAATTAAGATTAGCACGCTATCAGTTATCTTAATGCAAAAATCAATTATCAATCAATCAATCAAATAATCTATTGCAGAATCAACTGTATTAATGTAGATTAGCTATAAAATAAGCAAATAAATGTAAATTATTAAAATGATTGAAACTTAGATTTTGGATTGTAAATATAATATTAATTAATTTAGACTGACAGTGAATGTAGACAGAGCTAACAACTGAATAAAAAAAAATGCAAATCGCTTTTAAACAGTAACTAATTAAACTGACTCACCTGAGGATTTTGTAACAGTTGCGAATCTTCTTTCTCGTTAGTTTTATTATTGTCATTTACTTGGTTAGTTTCTTCGCAGGGTTCGGTGATTGTATTTTCAAAATGATCTATTGGTCCATTTGTTACAAGAGGTACATCCCTGTTATTATTCTCAGTATCGGGAAGAATTAATATCTCCCCAAGAGGCTCATCCTCACTTTTTTCAATTATATCTTTCCCACTGTCACTGCTTGATGATTTTGATGACGCAGACAGCTTGTTGACCAATGATGCGCTTAAAACTTCAATGTTCACATGATCTTTGTTGCTGTTGGCAGTTATGGACTCATACTCATCAACTTGCCTGCTTGTACCGGCTATGCACAATGAGCTCACTGAGCTAACACTTGATGAAAGGCTTTTATTGCCATTGCACTTTACCGAAGGGCTATTCTTATTCAGTTTATTCTTTCTATGTGCTATAAAAGAGGAGCTAAGTTTATTTGGTTTATCCTTTTTTGGTCCTTCAAAGTCGATAACCATGGAAAAGATATTCTTTTTAGTTGATGTTGATGGTGGGACAGGATCATCAGGCACTTCACTAAGATCAACATAGAACCCTAAGGGCATTTTGGCCTTTGAAGACGCGTCTTGCCCTTCATGCCCCTCCAATTGAACTATAGAGTTGTAAGGTGTATTGGTATCAGGATAATTCGATAAACTTCTGGGAGAACAAAACTCCCTCTCTTCCATTGAGCTGGACATCTGAAGCATTGAGAATTGAGGTATGGAAGACTGGAATACGATGGCTCCTTGCCGCCGCTCATCGTTTCGTCGCTGGTCGACAGCTTCAGCAGGTTCGTCTGACAGGGTGGCTGCATCAATGAAACACCCACTAAGCAGTTGTTGGTTATGTAGTTGTTTTTGTTCTTTCGTACGACCCCTACGGTCCTCGTCACTGCCCAAACCTGAATCCATGTCACCGTTTACATGTTTTCGATTCATTTGTTACAGTTTCCCTATTTTCATTTCGTCAATTCAATAGCGATCTCATAAAAGCTAATTAAAAATTGTTCACAACACACGAATCGGCAATTTTAACGCCACATACTAACTTCGGAACATATTTAATTAAAACGAACCCTACATTTTTAGAACAAACGACATAAACACGGACCTGAGCTAAAACTATATTGGAACAGGTTCTGTGAATTCGTAAAATTGTGTTGAAACAACCTGTCAAATAGCCGAGCAGCGTTGCCATTGTCGCAGAAAAATCCCTTGATACGTTACGGGATTGCTGAATAAAAATGAAACATTTCCTCTGAATAGGTTGCTTAAGAGACATTTTTTTCTGCGTTGTTTAGTGTTTAAAGAATTAAAACTTCTTAAAAAATGTTTTTCAAGTTATACTGTTTCCAAAATCTTGCAGTAAATTGAAAAATTTAACAATGGCAACGTGGAAGCGCTAAATAAACCCTACACCTTTTTCATCATAGAGGAAGAAAAAAAAATATTGCATCGACATGTAAAAACAGAGAGATGATACAATATATTCTCATCCGAGCGAGATGAATGGAGCTGGAGGGAGTTAACTAAAATATTATTTTAAGAACGTAATACAGGGCGGGCTTCAAATGATTTTATTAAAAAAGTGGAGTTTTGTTAATATAATAATGCAACTATTTTTGTATAGTTTTTGTCCCCTCGTTATGCTATGAAATTCTTAAAAACTATTTTAAAACTGTTGGCGAAAAATAAAAAAAGGCGAATGCGCAAGACTGGATTTATGAAATTGTGATCCATTATACAAAACATTCTGCAAAGTTAATATGTATACACGTAGATATGTATTTATAAACCATTTATCATTAGATTTGAATAATTAATTTTTTGATGACCTTTAAGATAATCTTGCCTTTGATATACAATTTCGAAACACCAATTTTTTTAAAAACACATTTCAGGCGTATCTGCAGGTTATTTGATTGTTTGTTTGGTTATTTCTTTACTTCGCTAGATTAATTTTTTCCTTGAACAAAAAAGTTTCATCCAGCACGTTTGGTCCCAACAAGTTGTATTTTATGCCAAAAAGAAATTCTGAGAAGAATTCCGAAAAATTCAGAAGAATTATAACCTACACTCTTCCCTCTGCAGGAATAATGTATTAAAGTTTAAACGACTGTTGGTCAGAGAATCATATAAAGAATGGATACATTATTATCAACAAAAGCGGCAACACTTCTAAAATGATTTTTGGATTGTACTTTTCTAAGCGCAATTAAATAATACATCATAACTGTTGGGGTTGCTGACGAAGGACCACCCCGTTTCCAGGGACGAGATTGACGACAATTTGAGTGGATTGTAATTACTGTTTTATTTTTAAGAAACACTTAGAAACGAAGAAAACTTAATAACAAATTCTGTGACGGCTCGCTTTGCTCTTGCCGACTTTTCGCCCTCGCTCCGTCTCGCTTCTTACTTCCGACCGTCTCTGTCGACGTCTTGCAAAGCTCTCTCTGGCTCTCGTCGTGCCGCCCCTCAGTCGCGCTAGGTTCGCACTGTTAGCCTTGTTGCCGAGTCTTTCACAAAGCCAAACATGCCGCCCCCGTTGAAAAGTATACTTTTCAAAAAAGAAAATAGAACGCGAAAATTGGGAGCGTGAAAATTAAAAATACTTTGCTAACACTTTGTCTTACTTTTCTACAGGCAGAAAACATACTCTTGCCACTGAGCGTTTTAAAATTGTACCATTCGGTAAGCGCACTGACAAAACTCTCACTATACCGTCTGAACCACTATGAACTTCAGTAACACGAGCCATAGGCCAGCGTAGTGGGGGTACGTTGTCTTCAACTAATACGACCAATGCACCAGGCCTTACGCTGTCAGCTGAATCCCTTTGCCATTTGGATCGTAGTTGAAGACTGCCAAGATATTCCTTCGACCAACGTTGCCAAAACTGTTGGTACAATTGCTGTAGTCTGTGATACCTCGACAATCGAGAAATGTTTTCATTTTTTACGTCCAATTGAGGAGGACTAACGAGTGAGTCGCCTATGAGGAAATGTGAAGGGGTTAAAGGTGTATAATCATAAACGTCATTAGAAATTGCAGTCAAGGGACGCGAATTTAAACATGACTCTATTTGCACTAGTAATGTGTACATTTCGTCATAATTTAAAGATGATTCACCTAATACACGTCTGAGATGAAACTTTGTTGATTTGACTGCCGCTTCCCATAAGCCTCCCATATGAGGCGATCTTGCTGGTAAAAAATGCCAATTTATCTTATCCTCAGCCAGAAAAGAATAAACTTTGTCGTTATGTTCTTTGTTATTGACTAATTTGTGTAGTTCTAAAAAATGGTTATTTGCCCCGACAAAGTTCAAACCGTTATCTGAATGAATATTGGTTGCTTTCCCGCGTCGTGAACAAAATCTCTTTAAAGCATTCAAAAAACTATCTGTAGTCAAATCCATTACTAACTCTATATGTATTGCTCTTGTTGCAGAACAAATAAAAATACATATATAAGTTTTTACTAACTTACTCTTACGTAAGGTTCCTTCCTTAACGAAGATTGGACCTGCATAGTCAACTCCGCAATTTGCAAAAGGTCTGCTCGGCGTTACTCTAGAACTCGGTAGAGATCCCATTAAAAATTTTCCTGGTTTTGGATTCGCGCGGTAGCACCTAATGCAACTCTTAACTATTCGTTTTACAGCGTTTTTACCATTTACTGGCCAAAATTGTAATCTAATAATTGACAGTAAATTTTGTGTTCCTACGTGTAAATTTTCAAGATGAATTTTGCGTATTAATAAATCTGTCAATTCATGATCAAATTTCAAGTTTGAATTTTTTAATCTCCCACCTACTCGAAGAATGTTATTGGCACCTGATTGTTGAATGTTAGAAATTTCTTCTTTAAAATCTTCAATTTGTGCTAAACGAAGAAGAATTAAAAATGCTTCATCTTCATCATTCATTCTTGAACTGTTAAAACTTGTGTCGTTATTGGAATTTTTTGCAAAGTTCGATCTTTAAATCTACAAATGTATGCCACAATTCTTTGTAATTTTGATAAATTTGAGAATTTTTTAAATAATTCGAATTTGTTTTCTTTTGGTTTGTTCACATCTAATGTAGAATTTAACGTGATAGTACTTGTGTTGTTTTTTAATTCCGGTAAATTTTCTAAATTTTCCAAATTAAATTTTCCTGCTCAATTTCTGAATTGTTTTTCAAAAATGATGGACCGTAAAACCACAAATCACTCTCCAAAAGTTCTTTGGGGTTTAAGCCTCGCGAAATGATTGATATCTGCCGCATTTTCTTTCGAGTTTACATGTTTCCAATCATTTATTTCTGAAATTTCTGTTATTTTTGCAATTCGGTTTGCTACAAACGTTTTTAAATGGCAAGGTTCGATTTTAAGCCACGATAAAACGATTGTTGAATCAGTAAAATAAGTGGTTTTTTGAATTTTTACATTTAAAGTTTCCTTTAATTTATAATTTAATTTTGCTAATAAATGTGCAGCTAGAACCTCTAAGCGTGATAAAGATTGCTTTTTCAGTGGCGCGACCTTTGATTTCGCGGTTAAAAGATTGATTTGGTTTTCGCCGTGTTTATTTCTAGAACCTAAATAGACACATGCACCGTATGCCCTTTCCGAGCTGTCACAAAAACCGTAAATTTCAATAGCTTCTGCGTTCACTACCAAAACCTGTCTGTTTATTTTTAATTTGTTTAGTATGTCAATTTCTAAGCAGAACTGTAACCATATATCTTTAAGGTTTTCGGGCACGTCTTCGTCCCAATCTAATTTTAGTTGCCACAATTGTTTTTTTTTTTTGCTTTGACTATTACCGGGCCTACTAAACCTAGAACGTCGAATATTTGCGCAACTGTCGAGAGTATTGAGCGTTTTGTTACATGTTTTTCGTTAATTGGTTTTAAATCGACGGAATATTTTAGAATATCTGTTTTAGGGTCCCATGAAATCCCTAAAGTTTTCAATTCTTTTTCATCGTGAAATAAAACAAATTTGTCATCATTGTTACTTGAACGAGAAATGTAATTTAACACATTTCGGTTGTTCGATGACCATTTACGCAGTTCGAATTTCGCTTGATTTTTGTTGAAACGATTTTCTAAATTTTGAAATCTTTTTGTTCTTGATTTGGGGGTTATTGTTCAGCAATTTTCACTAACACAATTTTTCGGTAAAATAAAAGTCGGAAAATGACTAACACTGTGTATTTTTGCAAAAGAAACAAATTATCCCGACATTCTTATTAACGCTAAAAGTTCTTTCCGCTTATGTTACGACTGATGCCGACCGACTCGCGTCTCTCTCTCCGAAGGCACCCTGCGCGGAACTTTATATAAGTTACAGGCATGCGCACTAACTGAAAACTGTAACATTAAGCAAAAATATTTAACATGCCCCCAGCCTTGAAAGATACCACTTTCAACACAAAATAAAAAAGGTAGGGCAAAGCCAAAGAATTGTCAATGCGACACTTCACTTCACTTCACTGGTAGTGGACAAAGTTTAGAAAAAGCTCTTTTAATTGTTCCAGCTTGAGTTTTCAATGTCGCTAAGCGATTAACACCGTCTTTTCCTGGATGTAATGTCGTAACTCTTCCAAGTTTCCAGCACATAACCGGTAGGTTATCTTCTTTCACAAGAACTAAATCACCTTCTTGGAGAGTGCTTTGAGTCTTCTTCCATTTACACCTTTGTTGCAATTCGGATATATATTCTTTATTCCATCTTTCCCAAATATGCTGCCTCATTTGCTGCAGGTGTTGGTATATTGAAAGTCGATTTTCAGGAATTTTCTGTAGATCCAATTCCGGTATCGTAGTCAATTGCTTGGTCAATAAAAAGTGAGAGGGAGTCAAAGGACTAAGATCATGTGGACTTGAGGATAATGGAGAAATAGGTCGGGAGTTTAGTATGGCTTCGATTTGTGTGAGCAGTGTATAAAAATGTTCAAAAGTTAAATTTACGTTGGATACTACTCGCTTTAGATGATGTTTCATACTTTTCACGCCTGCTTCCCATAAACCACCAAAATGTGGAGACCGGGGCGGAATAAATCGCCACTCTACGTTTTCTTGTCCAAAGGTATGAATTAAATCTTTGCCATTTTTTCTAATAAAATTGTATAAAGCATTTAATTCAGAACTGGCTGCTACAAAATTGGTTCCGTTGTCCGAGAATATTTGACTCGGTTTCCCTCTGCGAGACACAAATCTACGTAAAGCTAAAATAAATGCATCTTTCGTGAGGTCGGTTACCAATTCCAAATGAATTGCCTTTGTCAGAAAGCATATAAAAAGTGCAACATAAACCTTTGAAGTTTTAAAACCACGACCTGTTTTACTTTTCATGGAAAATGGACCTGCGTAGTCGACGCCAGTTATGTCGAAGGGATGGGTTGGGCAAATGCGCTGCTCAGGCAAATTTCCCATAATTGGTTTTGAAATTTTTGGGTTGAATCTAAAACATTTGACACAATTTCGAACTGTCAGCTTGGCTAAATACCGCCCAGAAATTGACAAAAATTTCTCGCGTATCGATGCTAATAAATGTTGCGGGTCTGCATGCTTGTTTTTAAATAATAATTTCGTGAACGAATGTTGTTTTGGTAAAATGAGTGGATATTTCTTTTCAAAATCATACTTTGCATTTGACAGTCTTCCCCCAACACGCAAAAGACCATCATCATCAATAAAGGGGTTTAAATTTCCAATTTTATTCGAATTAAATTTACCTTTCTTGACCAATTCAATTTCGCGAGAAAATGATTCAATTTGCACTAATTTTGTCAAGCGTTTAAAAGCATCTTCAATTTCTTGAACTGAAAGTGGTCCGAAGTGACGATTCTGTTTTGAATTCTTACAATTTTCTTTGAACCTAAATATCAGTGCAACTACTCGTGTAAAAGTATTTATATTGGAAAATATTTCAAATATACTAATATCAGAAATTTGACGAGTAATAAGAACCTTGACGTTGTTTCGCATATCAGGAAGCCCTTCTTCGCGATTTAAATTAATAGTGGGCCAATGATTTTCATCTAATTTTAAATAATCTGGTCCTTGCCACCATATTTTTGCGCCTCCTAGCAAATCATCTACGTAAAAATCCGATTTAATTATTTTCGCAATTTCTGGGTAAGTACCCTCGTTTTCATTTGCTAATTGTACTAGACATCTTATCGCAAGAAAGGAAGCCGCCGCTGTACCGTATGTTACCTTTTTCAATTCGTACGCGTCGAGTGGATCGTTTGAATTAAACCGCCACAAAATTCTTTGAAGCGATCTTTGTTCCGGGTTAATCAAAACACATCTGTACATTTTTGCGATGTCAGCTGATATTACGAAACGGTGTTGTCTAAATCTAAGTAATATTGAAAACAAATCTTGCTGAATGGTGGGTCCGAGCATTTGTAAATTCTTTAAAGAAAATCCCGTTGATGTTGGAGATGACCCGTCAAAAACTACCCGTAATTTAGTTGTTTTAGCGTTTTCTCGAAACACCCCGTGGTGAGGCATATAGTAATTTATACTCGATGTGGAATCGTCAGTCACCTTTTCCATATGACCTAATTCGATATATTCAAGCATAAATTCACTATACATTCTTTTTAAATCTGGTTTTGTATCCAATTTCTTCTCGAGTGAAAAAAAAAAACGTTTTTTCGCGTTATCAAAAGATTCTCCTAACTTGGTTGTTTCTTGTTTTAATGGTAAGCTAACCACAAATGCACCGTCATTGTTTCGCGTCATATTTTGTAAGAAGTGCATTTCGCAAGCAGTTTCTTCTTCGGACATAGGTTGTATTGGGGTACATTCTTCTATTTCCCAAAATCGTGCTATTTGCTCATGTATTTTTTGTTCATCGATTCTCGAAAAATTACAGCGGATGCTTTTTGATTTAATAAAACCGAGCGGACCCGATACTACCCATCCGAAGCGAGTTTTTTGAAGCAAAGGTTTATTAGAGCCTAACGAAATTTGACCAACGCAAATTAACTTCCAAAAGACATCGGCACCTATAAGCATGTCAATGTTTTTAGGTTCAAAAAATGTTGGATCTGCCAGTTTTATATTTTTCGGTATGTTAAGCTGCGAAACGTTTAATTTTAAACTTGGTAAATTTCCTGTAATTTTTGGTATAACAAAGCAAGAAATTTTTTCAGAAAATGCGTTAAATTGAGATTGAATTTCGATATTGCATTTGGCTTCAATGCTTGAAAGAGAACCATTTAAGCCACTCACGGACATGCTAACTTGTTCTTTGCTTAAGCCTAAGCGGTCGCAAATTTCAGTTGTGATAAGACTAGATTGGGATCCATTGTCTAACAACGCCCGTATTGTATGCCCATTTTTCTGGCGATCAAAAATCTGCACGTACGCCGTTGACAACAAAACGTCATCTACAGTATTACAGCCAGAAAGCGAAACGTTCGAATTTGTGATTGGATCTGTTTGTTTTGCGCTCGAGTTGTCCGATGTAGAACTTGTAGAGGCAACAGCATTTTCAACGTGCAAAAGAGTATGATGCTTAGCGGGGCATTTTCTGTATGTACTACGTCTACATATTTTGCTAAAATGCCCTGGTCGCAAACAATTTAAACACAATTTCAGTGACAAGACCTTTTCACTTCTTTTGTTTGTGGGAATTTTCAGAAATTCTGGACAGTTGTGTATATAATGTACGCCGTCGCAAAATGAACATTTTGCCGCTTTTTGATTGTTCTCAGTAATTAAAAATCCTCTTGTGTCTCTTTTACTGCGTTTTTCAAATTGTTTATCGGATTGATTTGACTCAAATGTCTCTAACATTTCTGCTTTTGAGTTTAAAAATGATTTTAAATCTTTTAACTTGGGAACTTCTTGACTTTTTGACTTAAACAGCTGTAACGCTATCGAATTTTGTCCCTACTAAATAAACAATTAAAACATCCCACGAATTTATTGGCAAATTTAATTGTTCTAAAGCACGAAGATTTTTCGTTAATGTGTCAAGTAATTTTCGAATGCCGTTAGCCGATTCGTTCTTAATTGTGTCCATGTTGAAAATGTTCTTTACATGATTATGTATTAACATTTTGTCATTGTTAAACCTTTCAACCAGTAAATCCCAAGCGATTTTGTAATTGTTTGCAGAAAATTCTAGCGATTTTATCACCTGAGCGGGACCCTCTGTCAACGAAGCCCTTAAATAATGAAAGCGCTGTATATCGTTGATTGCGTCGTTTTTGTGAATGAGTGACTCGAAAATATCACGAAATTCTAACCAATTTTGCAGCGAACCATCGAAAGTTGGCAAATTTATGACAGGAAATTTGACATTTTGTAAAGGATTAACAACATTTTGTGTTGCGGAAAATTCCCCTGATTCGGTGCTTGATTTAGAAGAAATTGACTTGTTTTCATTAAGAATTTTTTTGCGATTGACACCTGCGAATAGTAAATAGATTCAAAGTTGTTGCGCTCTGTATATTCTTTTTCAACATCTTCGCAGATGCTTTCAATTTCATCTTGAATCTCAAAGAATTTTTGCAATGACACACATTCGATGTTTTCTAAACGAGATTGTAATTCAATTAACTCTAAATTCGTAAACTCCCTTTTTTCTTGCAACGAGGCTAAATATTTTTTAAAATTCGTTAGAGAGCTTTTTACATCGCCCCTCTTTCTTACAAGCGAATCCATTATTCAAAAACAATTTTCAATAAAAGCGAAGCGGTCAGGAATTGTTTAGTCTGGAACGTGCAAAAGCGGGACTCACTTTGATGATTTGATCTGACCTTTTTTTTGTCGTGTCGGCACCGTCTACGCCTCTTTCTGTCGCCTGGATCGCCGCTCGAGCCGCTGTTTGTACCTTGCAGGTGTTTTGGGCCGCTGTGATCCACTGCCTCAGTTCTCGTTGTTTTGGTTACGTTTTTGTGATTCGTTGGATTTAAAAAAAAAAAACCATCCGCCGAAGGACCATGTTCTTGATTTGGGGGTTATTGTTCAGCAATTTTCACTAACACAATTTTTCGGTTAAATAAAAGTCGGAAAATGACTAACACTGTGTATTTTTGCATAAGAAACAAATTATCCCGACATTCTTATTAACGCTAAAAGTTCTTTCCGCTTATGTTACGACTGATGCCGACCGACTCGCGTCTCTCTCTCCGAAGGCACCCTGCGCGGAACTTTATATAAGTTACAGGCATGCGCACTAACTGAAAACTGTAACATTAAGCAAAAATATTTAACACTTTTCAAAGCGGTTGTTTTAGAATCACCTAACTGAATGTTTGAATTTTGTTTGAATGGATACCGCACTATAAATTGTCCGTTCCTGTTTCGAGTAGTTGTTTCTGTAAAAAACTCTTCACAATGTTGTTCGTCTTTGGATAATCTTTTTTCGTTGGTAAGTTCTTCTATTTGCCAAAATTTGGTTAAGGAATCATGCAAGGTTTCGTTTGTTATTTTTCTAGTTAAATTGCAAATAGATTTTGAGCTTTTAATTTCATTTTTTAAACACCCCGTGAAAATCCAACCTAAACGCGTTTGTTGTAGGCTTGGCATATATTTTCCTAATTTTATTTTTTCATTGTCTAAAAGTTCAAAAAATATTTCGGCTCCTAAGAGTACATCAATTTCCTTTGGTACATTAAAGTTTTCATCCGCTAGATTGATATTTTTTGGACATTTTATTATAGACTTGTCAAATCCGTGTAGTGGCAATTTTTCTGTTATTCGTGACAAAACTAAAAATGATAATGTAGTTTGAAAAGAAGAGAACCGAGACTTGATTTTTGTACGTGTTCTGAAATTGATTTGTGTCACGATTTGACTTACACCTGTTAAAGAAACATTTATTTTGTCACATTTGAGGCTTAACTTTTTGCACAAAGATTGACTTATTAAATTCGACTGACTGCCTGAATCTAATAATGCGTTACATTTATGCCAATTTCCTTTGTGGTCTTGAATAAAAATTATTGCTGTGGACAATAAAATTTGATCTGTGTTCGTTGTTGAACAAACTTGCGTGTCGTAATTCAAATTTAAAGAAATGTTTTCTGTTAATTCTGGCGCTTGCGAAGTTGTATTCCGGTCGATAACGCACATAGTAGGGCTAGGATTTGCGAGCGTTTTTTGTTCGTCGCGCGTGTTTTCCTCGCTATGCGGGTTATGCGATGCGTCGTTGTCTGTATTTTTTTCTACAGATTTGTTTTGAATTTGCGTATCTGCATGCAGGGTTATATTATGTTTGAACTTGCACTTTTTACATCCTGCAGACTTGCACCGATACTTTAAATGTCCTGACCTTAAACAGTTGCTACACAATCTGTTTTTTCTGATTTCGTCGTATTTTTCGGAATTCGACGATCGATTAATTCTTGCAACTTTGGTAAATTTTGATCTGATTGTTTACTTTCCCACTCTC